AGGATGGCAGGGGTGGTGGGAATACAGTTTTGTGTTTAATTGGATTTGATTAGGAGAGTTACACAGCCCATCACTCAGCTTCCAGGACAGCCATAAAATATCTTTGCCTTCCACTGAATTGCTGGCCAGGCCTCCAGGCATCAGGCTGGTTCCTGCTGAACACTTCAGCTCAAGGTTGCCAGTTAATGGGCAATGATAAGAACTGATCCCTTGCATTTTAATGGGTGTGACAAACTCAGGCAGAAGTACTGCAAAAATAACTTGAAATACAGGGGAGTGATCGTATTTTAATGCCTGGTAGCTGCAGATGTTCAAATTACTGTAATGCTATTAAAATCAGTAGCTATTAATACACAAATATTTCAACGACACACAAAAGCCGAGTCAAAAAAAAAAAAAACAAGCCTGAAATAATGACAAAACTAAAATTGCCCATTTATTGGAATTAGCCTTCAATCACTTCTTTCTAATGGGCAAGAGGCTGCGCATCTGACAGCACCACTCTCATTGCTCTCCCTCCCAGAGTCCATAGATTGCTTTTATGCCTCCATCTACCTATATGTGAAATCATTTCCCCGTTTTAATTTTCTTTCTCTGTGATTTCAAGATATTGTATATCAGTTTGCACTTGCTGGGCACTTAACCTTCCTATTATCATTTCCTTTCTGTGAGATGCTCTCCAGCACAATTGCAAATAATCCACTTTCTCAGATGGCTTTTGGAATATGTCCTGCCTGCATTGAGGACATTTGCATCCACAGAACACCACTGGGGTTATTACAGAGGTGTAAACCCTGAAATGCAGATTCTGTCAGGACAAATGGAGCCTTCCAGTGCTGCTCTTTAATCCAGCCACAGAATTAATTTCCTTCATACAGCCAGAGCCACTCATTAAACCTCCCCATTCCGGCCCTTCCCTCCTGCTGCTCCCAACACCAGTTGCACTCTCCATTTATTAGCACGAGCAGCAGCTCATGGAGGCAATGAAATGGGAATTTTAAGATGCTTGGTGATTTAATCAATTGGGTTCGATGCCAAAAGAAGTGTTACCACTGAATTCAGTGAAATTGGATCAGAGCTGTGCTGGCTGTTTCTAAAAAAAGAATTATTTTAAGATAACGCCTCCCAGGCCTGTGGAGAGCAGGATTATCCAAAATCCAGCTGGCCATGGGCACGAGGATGCTGGGGTCAGTGTTAGTGACCATGGACCAGGCAAGGGAGTGAATTCAGCTTCTCCTGTAGCACCACCACACCAAGGAATCTCCCCTGGGCTTGTGATACAGATATTCCAAAAAAAAAAAATCCAAAATAGTTGTTACAGCTGACCTCGATCTTGATAGAAATGCACAACCTCTTAACTGTGCCTGCAGATCAAGGCCTCAGATTAGTTGGTATCAGAGGGAAGCATCACTTAAAAATTAGGAAGATTAAATTGACATTAAAGAGTTTTCTTTAAATAAGAATCCCATAGGTATTACTGGAACGAGTTGATTTTCTACTCATTTAACTGCATCTATATTTTGTCCATATATTTTTGCCATTGACACTATTGTGACTGAAAGTGTGATTGGAAAAGGTGGGCTGCTCTAATCTTTATACCTAAAAGGACTGAAAACGAAATTTTCATCAGGTTTTAAATTTATTTTTAATATTCTCCTTTCTAGGCTGTTTCAGTTAATTGAAACTGATAGTGATTGTCAGTGGTAAGACCAGACTAATGATCCATTGAGCCCCATTGGCAAGATCTCACTTTGGTAATATCCTAGAGATGTTGTGCAAACCAAGTTCTGCTTAGGCTTGAGGTGAATTTCTTGGTATTTCTGCCAGTGGTGAAAGAAACTCTTCAAAAGCTAAAGCAGCTGGGACAAAAACACTGATTGATTTTTTTTTTTTTTTTTTCTGGAGGAATTTACCGTGTATCTGAGTCTGCTAGTTACTGATGGCTAAATTCCCATCTCAAATTTGAAAAAAACAAAGTTTGTCAAAGCAGGACACAAAAGTTATGTGGGCAATCCGTGTGGTGAAAAGATGAACATGAAAAAAATGCTTGGAAATGGACACACCAACTAAAGCAGAGAACAGTCAGAGGGTGTAGTTAATAGGAACAAAAACTCAATTAATATTTTAGGTCTACAGCTGACATCAGGATGGACAGGGTTAAGCCAGGTCTTCAAAAGAAATTATTAATTGGGAAGCTTAAATATGATCTTCATGTACTTACTTACACCTGTGCAGGGGTTTTTTTTTCCCACTTTGATTCTTAGGAAGCCTTAATTAGACAACACTAGAGTAGAAGCATTGCTGTTCTTCACATGTAATTTCAGAGAGATGTCTGAATGACAAGTGGAAATGAAAAAAAAAAAATCATTAGCTGGAAGGAGCGTGAGACTGGTAATTCAGTTGTTATTATGGAAGGTGAATATTGCAGTGGGTTCAGAAGCCTCAGGTGGCAGAAGGGCAGCACAGGCTCAGGGGCTGTGTGAAAACATTCCAGGTAACCTCAGAGAATTCGCTGTCTGCAAATTGCTTCCCTTCAGCAAGTATATGGTGATACTGCACCTTTGCTGTGTTTTCTGAAATGAATACAGGAAAAGCACTTACAAACCCACTATTTCTGCATGCCTGGGTTGTTGGAAAATAAGTGAGGGGAAGAGAGGGTTTTGTCCTTTTTAACTTGTCATCCTAAAGATTAGAGTCATCTTTTCAACCTCACAATCTCATAAAGCGCCTCTCTGACAAACTTAAAATAAAAGTATCTTTTACGTGGCCAAACTTGATGCCTATGACTGGAATTTGAAGCCCTTGACTTAGCTGAAATTGAAAAAATATATTAGTTGGCCAAAGGAGTCTAAAGATGGGGCTGGGCTGGAGGTGACAAAGGACACCAGGCAAGGCAAGATGCAGGATGCATTTTTAAAATTTGAATGGCCTGTGTGGTTGGTCAAGCATAAAAATACAGGCTATCCTTCTCAGGATGGCCTTCACAGCTAAAGCTGCTATTTCCACGTGGAGAGCTGTGCCACAGGTCCCCAACCTTGTCAGCTCTCATAAGACTCGGGGGCTGTGCATACGTGAGCAGCACAGCTCTGAGGAAGCTGAGGAAACTGAGGAAACCCCAAATCTGCATCTGGGATTTGCTCCTGCCCCATGCTCAGCCACTGCCCCACGAGGAGTCCACAGCCACCACGCTGTGAGCTGGAGCTTGCTGGGGAACTAAGGCTTGGCCCCAGTCCTAGCTAAGGATTAGTGCAATAATAACTGGAATTTGTGATATCTTCCAGGCAAAAGCCCAAAGTGGAGTTGCAGGGATGTGGTGGAGTTTTCAGACTGGGCTGCACCAGCCCAAACAGGCTGGAGCATCCTCCTGACCCACGCCAGGGCTGAGCTGGACCTCGCTGCTACAAACCTCAGCTCAGCCCATGGCAGGTCATTAAATCCCTGTAATTCCATCATCTCCACGAGTCCGATGTGATCACACTCTGCCAATTAAAAATGCATCTTGTTTTCCTGAGATAATTCATTTTTTGACATCCCTTCCTCAGACCAGTGCCACATTTGATTACAGAAGTGGCTACACTTCTGTGCTGGACATTTCTTGGTTATAAAACTGTACATGCATGGAAAAGTAAGGATATCTCTTCAGGTCAGGGCTCCTGCACCAAGTCTGGGTCAACAGATGCTGTGTCAAGTCTCTGCTATCCCCAGAGGAGATGTCATTGTTTCTCAGCCAGCACATTTCAATAATTCATGACACAACTGGACAGGAAGGGAAACGGAGGTGACAGTGACTTAAATCTTATTTGCTGAAGAAGCAAATTGTTCTCCTCACATCCTTCGTCCTTATGCCATGACAGCAAAGCATCAGCACCCTGTCCAGAATTCCTCTGTGTACAAAACGACAGCCATGAAGTCTTTTTTTCCCTTCTGGGAAGATCCCAGCTCAGGGAGGAGCTGGAGCTGCTGGAGGAGCCCAGAGGAGGCTCCAGGGGATCAGAGGATGGAGCAGCTCTGCTGGCAGGAAAGGCTGGCACAGCTGGGATTGTTCACCTGGGCAGGAGAAGCTTTGAGGGGAGCTCAGGGTGGCCTTGCAGGGCCTGAAGGGGCTGCAGGAAACATGGAGAGAGACAAATGACAAGGGATAAGGGACAGGGAATGGGTTTAAACTGGCAGAGGGCAGGGCTGGATGGGATATTGGGAATAAATCCTTCCCTGGGAGGGTGGCACAGGGTGCCCAGAACATCTGGGCTGCCCAGAACATCTGGGACTGCCCCTGGATCCCTGGCAGTGCCCAAGGTTGGATACTGGGGCTGGAGCAGCCTGGGACAGTGGGAGGTGTACCTACCATAGCAAGGGTGGCACTGGGTGGGATTTAAGATCCCTTTCCACCCAAATCAGTCTGTGGTGCTATGATTGACTCTTAAATCAACACTCCACTGTGGCTCTGAGACAAAGTCATCTCTGATAAAATTTGTCTTCAACTTTGAGACACAGGGACCTAATGCACACTTTATTATAACACACACTTCAGTGTTCTTTGGGATGCTGAAAGATAATACAGGTAAAAAAGGAACTTAGAGGAATTCTGCTCAGCCTTAATTACACCACACATCTCTAATGCTGCCATCAGCTGGAGCCAGATCCAATAAAACCTCCATCCGGCTCCTGCACAGCGACCTACGCGAACCTGACTCTTTCCCTGGGCTTCCAGCCCAGAAACGGGATGCAGTTTTTATTTAAGCCATAACGCCTCAACTTTCCCCGGCAGCGCATCCACCCTGAGCGGGTGCGTCCAGCGGGGCTCTCGGGGGAGCCGCGGCCGCCGCCGGCGGAGCATCCCCGGCGCCGGCGGGCCGGGCTGGGTCCGGAGGGGCTGTACCGGGCTGGGCTGTGCCGGGCTGGGTCCGGAGGGGCTGTACCGGGCTGGGCTGTGCCGGGCTGTACCGGGCTGGGCTGTTCCGAGCGGTGGGCGGGAGATCGGCCGGGCCCGCCCCGCCGCCGGGAGCGCGGCCAGCGCCGCTCCGGCAGAGGCGCCGGGAGCCGCAGGATTACGGCGCTGGCACCGCGGGCGAGGACGGCGCTGCGGCGGCTGGAACGGCTCGGCTGCAGGTGGGCAACTTCGGGCAACAAAGTTGGGCAGCGCCGAGCCCCCCGCATCCCTCGCGGGGGATGGAGCGGGCGAGCGGCACCGGGGACGCGGAGACCGCTCGGGGATGCAGCGACAGGCACGGGCGCTCGGTACAGCCGCTGCCCGCTCGGGTGATGCTGGCAGGTGGCATTTGCGAGGTTCCTCGGCCACCTGCAGGAAGCTGCTGTCCCCCCAGCCCGCCTGTCCCCAGGGCTCCGCCCGTGGCTCCGCCAGGGCCGGGGATGCGCTCCGGGTCCGGCGGCGCCGGAGCGTGCGGCTGCCGCCCGTCTGAGCCGTGCCGCGGGGTTTGCGCTTTTCTTCCCCCGTAGAATCCTTCTTGAGCCTGGAGTTGCTCAAGTTGTAAAGCTGGGCGGCTCTGGGTTTGCTTTTAATTAAGCGCTAATTGTCTCGAATGAGCGAAGGCGCGCACGGCAGCTCGCCCCCATCTCTGGTACCGCTGCTTCGAAACAGCGCACCACGCCGGTGCCCGCTCGCCGAAAAGCTTTTTCCTTTCCGTCTCCTATGAGAATCTCGCTCTTTCTGCACGTCCCCCGCGGCCGTTCGGCTTTGAGCGAGTCGTGGGCACGGCGGAACTTCGCGGAGAGCCGCGGCCGAGCGCAGCGGGGATGGGCACAGCCGCTCCCGCAGCGGCGCTCGCCCGCTCCGCTGTCCTTCCCCGCCGCTCAGCTGCCTTCTCCGGGACTGGATGGCTCCTGCCTGGCTGGGGGCGAGCCGCTGGTGTCCCCAGCGTGCCGTGGTGTGTCACCTTGCTGGCAGCCCAGCGGTGTGCCTGCTGGGATTAACCCAAATCCAAGCACCATCTTGTTGGATGCGTCGGAGGGAGATCAGCCCGTTCCCGCTGGGGATGCGGGAATAGCCTTGGGTGGGAACTGGTTAGTTAGGTTTACCTTATTGCTGCCATTGACACAATACAGGAATCAATACTGATTTTTAGCTGTCGTGTTTTACACGGGGGGAATAATGTCAGTATGGAGTGCAAAAATCAAAACCAAGCCCATAAGGACAAGAAACTCTCCAAAGTATTGACCGCTGTATTTGGAAAGAGAAACTTGAGCTCCAGCTTAAGCTGCATGCTAGGCTTGTTCAGTGGTGTAATTTTTAGATGTATATGGGAAATTATGAGCAAAATACTAAAATAAGGAATGGAAACACTGAACTTGTAAGCACTGAAAGCATGTTACTACCCATGTGGAATTGTTCCAGAAAGTTGTTTATCATGCAAGAGACTTCCCATAGTAATCTGGCAAATGCATTTGTGGAAGCATTTGGGGGGGAAGGATTGGTGAAGGTGCTTAACTCTTGCCAAAACCCACTTGGTGTTGGGGCTGCACTAAAGGCACAGGGCGCTGTGAGCTCTGTCCTGCCTCCCTGGCTCTTCCCAGGGCTCCCAAAGATCCGTGGGACTCCTACTTCTGTCTCTTAGTCCTTGCACGGCAGGGGATGCTTGGGCTGCAGGCTTGGCGCTGGAAGCAGTGCTGTTTTCTGGAATAAAGCAGTGGGAGGTGCTGCACAGGATCTGCGAGCTGCCAATGGCTGTGGGGTTTTTCCAGAGTGGGTTTTCGTGGATGTCGCCTCAGTGAATAGAACAGGTAGGGATTGTCTAGCTGATCTTGCTGCTTGTTTATTTTTTCTGTGTTAAGAAAGTTAAACCACTGGATTTTTGAGGGGTTTGGAGCTGCTGTGGGGTGGTGGCAAGCTCTGGTGGTGACTCCTGTGGTGCTGGTGCCCTAAGTTGGGGTCTTGTCCAGAAATCTGAGCATGCACGCAGCTGGCTGCAAACCCCTGAGCTGGATGTGAAATACAAACTTACCTAAACACAACTTGTTCTTTAAATCCCTAAAATCACATCACCGTAGCTAAGGAGCAATGCCATATTTTCCTGTCACTTTCCTATAACGCTTCTGAAGTTTCCACCCACAAACAAATGCTTCCAACCACTTGTGCAGGGGTGGTGGTTTTTGGTTGTTTGTTTTTTTCTGAGCTAGCTTCCCTGTCTTTGATGTTGTTTATGTTTATGTTCTTTGTGGTGTTTCTTGTGGGAATTTTCCCATTGCAATACCATAAGAACTATCTTAATGTTGTTGTGATACAGCAGCGGGAGGTTTCTGCAAATAGATTCAATCTTTTTACTGTTCTTCCTGGAAGAGGCTGAGTCTTGCAAGTGACACAAGCCAGTGGTTTTATATGTATGGAAGGGATCATCAGGATTTACTCTGATACCAAAAGACACAGATTAACTGCAGTCTGCAAAGAAGATTTTTTGTGTATTCACAGTGCTGTGAGGAGTTTGAGGAGCCAGCAAACCTGCAGAGACCAGGAAGTGATCATTGATGAGGAGTGACTGGGGCTGGAGGTGAGCATCCCCCTGGCTTTGGATGACCTGGGAAATAATTAAAAGCCTGGTCTAGGTTTACTAGAAAATCAAGGAAAATGGGAAGTTTGTTAATCTGTAAAGTAAAAATTAGTCCTTCTTGGTGCTCAGCTTGGAGCTAGGTCTGTCTTGTTGTGCTGTCAGATCCATAAACTCCCAGTTCATGTTGGGAGCAAAGGATTAGAGTCCCCTGGGATGCATGCACACATTGAGCACTACTGGAGTTACAACTGATGAGAAATGCCTTTTTCAAGGGACCTGTGTGATGCAAGCATTGCTTGAGCTCCTGTTGTGCATGGGAGCTGTCCAAATGGTCTAAAAGGCAGGATACTCAGAAATTAACTTTGTTTGAAGAAGCTTAGGAACCTAATGCTTTGGTTCTTCAAAACTTTGAAGAATGAACTTCTCTTGGTGCTCTGTTGAAGAATGAACTTCTCTTGGTGCTCTGTTGCTGCTGTCTTTAAAATATATCTGCAGTGACAGCAATACCTGTTTCAGGCATTTTTTGGTTGGTTTTGCAGCTCTGCAGCTGAAGTTTCCCTCTCTCAGCCAAACCAGGGATAGTTCAGTCAGAGATTAGCCCATTGAAAAACAACTGGAATGCAGAAAAACGCAATGGGAAGAGCTGTAGTTCCCTCCTGTGCAACATCTCCACCTTTGATTTAGGGAAGCTGTTTAGAATTGTAGCCCAAACTTTTCAGTGGAGATTTGATGGTCCACATTTTGTAGCATGTGGTGTAGGAAAATGAATTGCAGGGAAAAAAAAAAAAATAAATAATTATCAGTGATACCTTGTAATGTGCTTTGACCCAGGGAAGGATTAGGTAAAGGCTGGAGGTTGGCATAAGCTGAGAAATTTCTGATTTTCTGATCCAGACCTCAAAAAGCCACACAGTTCTCTGGTCTGCTGAGACAGATGAAAACCAGATGAGAGCTGATGGCCTTTTAAACAGAAGTGTACCCAGGAGAACACTGTTGGGGAAACAAGAGTTGGAAGGGGTGGGAAAACCTTTGAGCTTTGACTACAGTCAACTGAAATTTACTATATATTGATTTATTTTTTTTAGTGTGCTGTCTAATACAAAGAAAAGACTTAATACAGAGTGAGAGGAAGTGGCAGGAGTTCAAAAATCTTATGGATTCTCAGTCTTCTTGATTGAAAGAAGATGGTGGGCAGCTGATGAAATAATGGAGTTAGTTGGTATTTTATTAGTGTAAAGTTAAAATCTGCATGTTGAAATTTGGTGTGAGAAAATACCAATTAAAATGCAGGTCATAGTGTTTACAGAACTGGCTTTATTTTTAAAGAGCAGATAGTTTCATACCCCTAAAGTTTCACTTTTTAAGTGTAATAAAGTATAATAATATTCCTTAAAGTAAGTAATACTTTCATTTGGCACAGCTGATGTGGGAATTTTCCCCAGATTATAACATCCAGGTATTTTTCTCTTGAAAAAATTATCTTTTAATTAATGTAAAGTATAATTAATTAGCTGGCAGAGGTGTTGCACTTCCAGCTGGGGGAAGCAGCAGTGGGAGCTACTGAAGTTGTGCTCAGCCCGTGCTCTTCTGGAGAAACCCATTTAATGGGAACAGCCAGGATTTGAAACCTGGACATGTATTTTAGTGTTTTCTTAATCCTGATTGCACACAGAGGGAACTTTATCTGTGTTTGGCTGACTCATGAAACGCTTAAAATCTGGACTGCAGAGCTGCCAGGCTGGGGGGGAGCTCCCAGAAAATGAGCTGTGAGCTGTGAAAGGCTTTGGAGTGAGTGGTAATAGGAGGAGAAAAGCAGAGTGACCAGACTTGTCCTGGGGGTTCTTTTTGTCAGGCAGTTCTTGGTTGCTGGCAAATACAAATAATGCATTTCTGAGCTGCAGTTTGAAGGGGAAGCGCTGCCTGTGATGGAAGGAGCTGAAAAAAAATCTCTGTGCAAGGGAAATCTGACTTAAAGACAGTGGCACCAACCTCCCTGAGACCCTGGGGACCCTTGTGCTCCCCAAAATCTTCAGTTCCAGGGTGGAGCAGGGCTCAGCAGGGGTCTGAGCAGCTCTCAGCTTTCCTGAGCCCAGCTTATTGCAGAACCAGTCCAGCTAAACTGGTTCATCTGTCACAGATTAGTCCCTCCACACTGGGTTTAAAGGAAGAAAATGAAATAAAGTAGTTTTTAACCCTTGTAAGTCCCTTGTGTAGTGCACAAAGGAAGCTTTGCAGTCCAGAGCTGTTCTGTCTGAGGGGTGATGGACACAGCACTGCAAGCTACCATTCCTATAGATCTATCCCTATAGATCTATCCCTATAGATCTATTTCTCTATCCTTCCCCCTTGGTTTTGAGATACATGGTTGAGGAAAGACACATTTGTGCATTCAATTTAAACAGAGAAGTGAGAAATCTTGAATTTGACTGTAGCTTTGAAAAAGTGGTTTGAGCCTTGTTGAAACATTAAGGTTAAATCCAGATTCTTTTTCCACCAACATTTACAAGTAGTAATGAGCTACCCTGGTATTAACTATTCTAAAAACTCTCACTATTCCTGTTTTTTTTACTGACTCTGTAAAAAAAAAAAAACATCCTACTGCTTTCC